TATATCCACAATGATTTCCAACTTGTGCACCAGCGAAGTAAAGATCTGGGTATCATAACACAGTCTATTTGAATCTTGGGGCGTACGACAATTTTAGTAACATATTCCCAAATGCCTATGTTGACTTTCCTAAAACATCCCTAAAATATCCTACAATAATAAGATATAAAAATCACTTTAGTATCATCCAATTTTCAAAAGTCTTGATTATGACCCTTTTCATCCTTGTTCTTGTTTTCAATAAACCGCTACTCTCCTTTCAGCAACCGTTATTTCTTCCATAAAATTTACTTTCAACATTATATCTCATACTTTGTTTCACACATGGCCCCCTTGCCCCTCTTTTCAACTCTCCTTGAAATCGGTGTTTATTGTAACTATAAATAACTTAAGGTATTATAATTTTGTTAAAAGCTAAAAAGTAGAAATTTCACTATTATTAAATGAAGTGACTTGGCTTCTAGCTATCTGCACTGTAATAGTTTTAAAAGTATGGCTCGGGTGCACCCAACACCTTGTACTTTGCTTAGTGGCCAAAACACCACAAACTAGTGACTTGGGTGCAAAGCGCACCATTAGTGAGTTTTCCGGCCACCATTCTCACTGGAGCCGGTGAGTTTTTTCGATAAGGTTTTGGGGGTCATTTTGACCCTTAAGGGTCCAAATTAAGCTTGAAACAAGCAAGGGTCCAATTAAGCTTGAAACAAGCAAAAAAAAAGCGTAAATGACTCAATTCGGCTTAAAAAACAATGACACGTAAATTAAGATATTTTATAACATACCACACAAATCATGTACGCTATTTTTTTTGCTTATTTCGAGCTCAATTTGGACCCTTAAGAGTCAAATGACCCCCGAAACCTTTACGGGACATTTTTTGACACACAAATCGAAAAATTAAAATTTAATTCATCGGCTCCGGTGAGAATGGTGGTCGGAACACTCACTAAAGGTGCGCTTTGCACCCAAGTCATTAGTTTGTGGTGTTTTGGCCACTAAGCAAAGACTGGTGCACCCAAGCCATAGTTCAGGCCAATTTTTCCTTTTTTTTTTTTGTTTTTTTTATTCAGCTACAATTTATTTTCATTAAAATTTGAAATATTTTCTCTTATCTTAATATAAAATTGCTTCTTTTTGGAAAGGATTGAAGCTAATAGTATATTTATTACCCAATGGAATTTGATTACCATATGTAGCTAAAATTATAAGAAAACTCCTGGATATAAAAATGACCCCACACAAGCTTTAGAAAGTGGCGGTGGGATTGAAAAATGTTTGAGTGTAGATGGAAGGAGGGGGAAGAGTTTATGATGGAGAGTAGTGTATGCCTTGATGTGGTACTCATAGTACATCAGGTGAGTGGGGTGCACGGCCGAGGGGGGGGGGGGGTATTATAATTGGTTGCTTCAAGGGGGATTGGGTTTTGTCACTATTGTTGAGCTTCAGACCTTTGATTGTTGGTTACATTGTTGGCTACTGCCAATGGAATGAGTGATACCTAATTAAGCCCATAAAGGAGTTTTTAGATTCAATTGTTAATGCAAAATGATTATCCTATCAAAACATGATACAAATCAATCATCTTCCTGAAGAGAATAGTACATTGTTCCATGTATATGACTTCACATGATAGTAAACTGTAAGTTATCTTTCTACTGTTAGCCACCTCCTGATTGCACAAATTTTGAGCTGTTTCTTACACTGCTTGGTGGCTTTAAGTTGTGGATGGCTCTTGCAAAGTGAAGGGATTCTATATTTGGGGCGATCATAAGTTGTAAATGGTTGCTAGTAAGTAGAAAGTCACTGGTAGTGAGTGGAGACTAGTAAGTGGGGAATTAAATCCTCGCGAAAATAGGTATCATAGTGGATTAGTGGTAGTTCAGAGGGGCTATGGAAAGAATTGGACTCATGGAGCTTCTAAAGTGCTAATCTAGTAGAATTATTTAGATGTTTTTTCACTTTGTTTTGTAGACACAAGTTGTAATCAAGGTGATTTATTAGTGAAAGATGTGAAATGAAATTTGTGGGGAATTTATCGCAATGGGGAAGTTTATGGAAAGAGTTACAGAACAATTTTTAGAGTTGCATTGAGTGGAAAGGGGAATGGAGAAAGGGAATATATAAAGGTTGACCAACCTTGAGTTTGAAGGGTTTGTTTAATCCTTGTCAGAGCTGAGTTGAAGGGTTGGTTGCATGGAGGTTGTTAGATGAGCAGAGTATTAATTCCTGCAACCTGAGAGCCTCATAAGCGCTGAGTTGTTGTTTGAGTTTGGTTGCATGTGAGCCTTTGGATCCTGGGACTCACACATGTCAGCTTTTGGTTTGGGGCAAGGAGTGTAAAAGTCAACAATTAATTTGTTTTGATTTGTGAAGAAACGTTGCACTTGATTCAATTTGATTGACTATTTAAACTACTTTAGCTCTTGCTATACCAACTTTAAGTCTTAGTCATTGAATATTTATTAATTGGTATAATGTGATATCCATCAGCTGGAAGTTGCTTCTGTGAAGTAACACTTCCTTGTATATATACATTATACACTCCCTTCATCTGCAATTAGTCTTCACATTTTCCAAGCTCTAATAATTATCAATGTAATTAGATGATTTTACTATATATACTCTTATTAAGGGCATATATAGTATAGATAAGTTGACAACTTATTTCTGGCATCTTAAATATGATAAATGACTATCAATGTTAGTATAAAGGAGTATTAAAATTCTGTCCAATGATTTCTGAGTTACGTTGTGCTATCACTGCTTTAATAATAAGAAAATGAAAAAAAGTAAAATTCTAATAATGTTGTTTCTTTATTGCCCAATTAGATTTGAGAAAAGAGTGAGATATGCATCCCGCAAAGCCAGAGCTGATGTGAGGAAGCGTGTAAAGGGCCGATTTGTCAAAGCTGGTGATGCTTATGATTATGATCCTCTGAGTACCAGGAGCTACTGAAGACTAAATTCTCATCTTTGTAAGGAAGGAAGTTTTGGATTATGCTATTGTTAGATATGGTCTAATATATCTTCTTGTTTCTTTTCTGTGATGACATTATGTGGCTGTATTGACATGCGGTTGTATTACAGGAGCATGTAAGCAACGAAATATTTGGTGTACAATGTGGTCCACAGAAGCTTTAGGGTTTTGGCCCGTTATTTGATTGTACATCTGGAACATATCAGATGATTATGAAATTGCCATCAACATGAAGGTTGGCTGTTTGCCTTAGCTTCAGATGGTTAGCACTCAGAGTAACTCTGTGGCTGACAATATGCTCCTGTCATTTTGAATAGTCTGTCCAGATTCTCCTGCTCGTAAATTCTGGCAACTGATACATGCCAGGCATAGATGTATAATTGTCTACAAGGATATGGCACCTTCATATGGCTTCTTATTCTCTCAGTATGTCTGCCGTAGCTTCCTGTGGAGTCTTATTACCATTGTATGTATAACCAAAGTCCTATAAGTTATAAAGGGAACTGGCGAGAGTTCCTTTATTTATTTTTGCAGGGGGGGTGGTGGGTGTTTGAGGAATGTGCTTTGTAGATTTTATGTAAATTGCTTGTGTTTTGCAGAATCAACCGTAGAGTTGTAAGTGTAAATTGTAATCTATTGTCAGAGAATCATAGGCTATATTTGGTTTTGCAATAACATCGTCTGGTATTTCAGGTGTCCCATTTTTTAGGAGTATTGGACAATTATTGTGGTACAAATACATGAACAAAACCAACATGACAGATGCAAGTAAAGCAATAAGTTAGAAATACTGCCCAGAAAATGATGATCAGTATAAAATGCAGTTGGTAAAAACCAAGAATTGATCAAGTTATAGCTAGATATTGTTTCCGGCCCAAAAAATAATCACCAAATTAGAGATGTACTTTCAATGAAGAAAAATTAAGCCATAAATTTATGCTTTACTTGCAATCAAGATGATTAAACTTATCCTAAGGGATGTTTGAGAATATCTGCTTTGGTAATTATATTAGAACTTGTATAATCATAAATTTTACGAGGAAATAGTACAAAAGTGCCTTATGTTGCTATATACAGTTTCATCTGAGATGCAGCCCTTAAAAGTGATTATCACGACAGCCAATATTTAAACAATTAAAGATTTGCATTGATACACATAAATGGGACTTATCAGGTATTCAAAAAAAAAAAAAAAAAAAAAAAGGGGACTATCAAATCGAAACAAAGGGTGCTTTGTCTGATTAATGTTATTTATAGCTCATCATTCCATTGATTATTACAACAATGGTAAAACACAAAATAGAATTCCATCAATTCAGTAATTAAGGACTTGTTCTCTTCACCTGAAACAAGTAGATCTGATTTGAATTTTTTAAGGTCTGATCTGATCTGATTTAACAATTTGACTAAACTTTGACCGCATTTGAATACTAATGTATAAAGAAAAATATTATCAAAATGGATCTTGTTAGATTCGTCTCATTATGAACTTTTTAAATATGTAATTTTTATAAAAAAAATTTAATACGCAATTAACGATATTTAGCAATAAGTAAATGATAATCAAAAGTTCTGATCTGGTCTGACCTGAATCTTTCTGATCTGGTCTGAATTTATCAAGGAATAAGTAATAAGTATCTGAAATAAGTTGAAGAGAACAAGTCTTAAATAGAAGTCGTACACTGCAGATATAGGTCTTGTTTGGCAAATGGTTGTTGGCGGTTGGCTGGTTCACTTGGCTTGTTTGACCAGCTAGAATGTTTGGTTGTTTATAATGACTTTTGAAATTGGCTGTTTACAAAAGTGTTTGGTAAATTAATTGGTGATTGTTGGCTGTTTATTAGATAATTTGTGGGCCAACAAGCCAAAAGCCAACAAAAAAGCTACTCAAAGCAGCTTTTTCATTTTGGCTTAAAGCTTTTTCGCTGACTAAAAAGCCAATTACCAAACACATTTTTTGGCTGTTTGACCACCTTAAAAAGCTAAAAGCCAAAAGCTAACCAAAAAGCCATTAAAAAGCCAATTACCAAACATGGCCATAGACAAACATTCATGCAGTTGGAAACCGATCTCAATCTTTAGCGTTGGACAACTGTGGGATGGCAGACAGACTTCAAGTACATCAAATTTAACTTTTTCAATATTACAGACCTATGGCTTTATGGCCAATAACAGATCTTTATATCCATTGTAAGAGTACTAATGAAGTCCAAAACTACACATATTACAAGAAAATCTCGCCCTCCACAATTAATGGAGAAGTAATATAGCCTACAACAAATATGACAACAGCAAGGAAGGCAACAACGAAAAGCAGCACAAAGCATATGCAGATCTACTGTCTTTCAAATATCACACACATCCAAAGAAATGTTCCAGGGATGTTGAATTAAACACATTTGATGCCAGTCGTTCTGGTCTGCTGGGAGAAATATGAAGCTGATATTTGATGAACCTCTGCAACCAGTAAATGACATCATTAATCACAAAAAACAAAGTGAAGTACATGGAAATCAAAATGTAAAATAAGTGATTACCGCTAACTGTGTAGTAATTTCAGAATTTGAGTCAATATGCCAATCAGGCTCTAGTTGCCGCACAAATGATGTACGCCCAATCTCTGTACTACAAAACAAAACCTGCAAATGGAGGATGTTCATAATTAGTAATAAAACATGCATAATTTTATTTAATTTATTTACAAAAATAAAGGAAACTCCACCAAAAAAAGCACCCTAGGGCAGGCTTTTTGATATAAACACCCCTAATTGCAAAATTATAAAAAAGCACTCCCCGTATTAACACTGACAACTTGACAAGCAGCTCAACCCATTTCCATAAGTATTTTCAGCAATTGACAGTATATAGCCTCATTTATTAACCACACCTTAAATGCTACTGCTGCACAAGTCCAAATATGATATGACCAAAGTAATTTATAAGAAATATTTCTTTATTGACAAGAACAATTAGGGGTAAATTTAATTAAGGATGAATTAAACTTGAAAGATTCTCCCTCCGTTCCCTATTGTTATTTACATGTTCTGTTTACATTTGGAAACTCTATTTTAAAACATCAATTTTGGACAAATTTACCCTTGCTTAGATTTTTATTTCCCATTTTGTCCCAAAAATTCCATTTGATATTGTACCTTGTACAATTTTATATTGAACTAGGGTGGCTAACACGCGCGCCATAGCTAGCCTTATTCGGGAACTTTTTCAGTTGTTGATTATATTAACGAGGAAAAATATGTAAACACATTTTAGAGGTATAATTGTCTATACACTATTCTAAATAGTTAAAAAAAAAAAAAATAAATAAAAAAAAGGCAATTAACATTAATAAAAGCAAATAAAAGAGCAATTAACTGTAATGAAAGCAAAGTAACATGTACCATATTAATGAGGATAAACATGTGCACATATTGAAGGGTATGATTGGCAGCACACTATTCATAAGAGTAATCTCATACTTTTATAAGGTATAATTAGGCTGATTTCAATGCTCATTATTACTTACTTTCCTCTCTCTTCTTCAACCTTGTCTTCATTCTCTTCTCTACTCACTAAGTGATTCCCACCGCCACTTCTGGCAGATTGAATCTCCCCCACTGCCACTTCCTCTATTAGCGTCAAATTTGGCCGTTGACAACCCCTCCCTTCCTCTGGCCCGCTTCCTCACCTCCCAATTCCACCAGAAACCCTCAAATCTACCACCACTAGTAAAGAACCACCTACCTAAAATCTACGTCATAAATCACTGATCCATATATATATATATATATATATATATATATATATATATATATATATATATATATATATATATATATAACACTCCCTTTGTCAGCAAATGACACGACTTTTAAGAAGGGTGAAAAAGTATAGAGAAAATTGGATTATTTAAAAATAAAAATAAAAATAAAAATAATAAAAAAAAAGGTAGAGATTGGTATTTGTTATATAAGGATAGAGAACGTGATCTGAGATGGAGGGAGAAAAAAAACAAATTTGTACAAGAATCAGGAGATATATTAGTCTTACGAGCAAATATTAACAGATTGGAGTAGTAGCCTAGACCAATCAGACCCCAACACCGGAAATGAGCTAAAGTAGAGCATTTATAGTCTTGTCAACATGTAAGAAGCCCATGCAAAGAACTATGCAAAACTCAACCATAAAGGCCACCAAGCAATCTAGCTAATTGCTCCAATCTCTCAACTTGCCACTTACACTTGCCAAATGGCCCAAGATAAATTATTAAGCTTGTAATGCTGCCACTACAGTGAGTTCAACCTAATTTTCTATGCATCTAATCTATTTACAAAGTTATAGGTTAGTTCTTATCTATCATTGGACGGGCTATTCAGTCACTCAAATTAATGTCCACATACACTAAATTTTTTTGTACTTGTGCTTTAACACTAGATCCTCCCATCACACACAAATATCCGCAAAAACAACAGTTACTAGTTGTTACTCTCACATAACTTATGGCATTCATACCATTTGCATTGCTCCCAACACAACAACATCAAGCTGAAATTCTATTTCATGAAAAGGAATTTAATCGTCCTAGAGAACCACTTGAATTCTATTACTACCATAGCTCTTCAACAGGCATGTTGTGCCTTAAAGTGGGTTAAGGAGATGATCCACAGGTTCCATTCATCTCACTCTAGAAAGTAGGGAATGGTCACACTGAAATATCGGTATATATGGTTATTCAAAGAGAACCAAAGTGTTTTTTTGGGCAGTTTGCGGCTTCAAGATTGCAGTGTCCACATGTGGTTTGAAATTTTGACCAAAATGCGGTTTGAGGTTTAATTATGGAATCCAAAATTTTTGAAACCAAATTGCATCGAAAACCACAACTTAATGTGTTTGTGGTTCAAACTGCAAACTGTTTTACAATGTTGTTTTTATAAAAATACATTTAAGGATTCGTTTGACATCGTTGTGGTTTTCTATTTTTTAGTTTTTTGTTTTTCCAAATCATATGATATATGACATATAATGAATCAAAAATTAGTTTCCTTTTTTGGCTTTTTGTTTCTCTAGAAAAAAGAAAATTGAAAACAAAATACAATTGCTAAACAAGCCTTGAGTTTTTATTTTATTTTATTTTTGGTAGGCAAGGAGAAGGCACCCTACCGGATCAGATCCTCTCAAAGGTCAACCTAGCCACATAAGCGGGCAAGGCCCCTTGGGAGTGGAAGTGGGGAGGAGCCAGAGGGGAAGGTAAGGGAATCTCCACCCCCAAGTTGCCTCTAGTGGGGATCATCCCAAAAACTCATGGTTGTAAGATAACAATCCTTTCCTCGATTTCATGGTGCTTGATGATATTATCAAAAGAGCCTAAATTGGAGTTATGCTAGCAAAATATATATTAGACTAAATAAGTGGATAAATAAAAATTTGAATTGCCCACTATAAAGCATATAAGAGAGAGAGAGAGAGAGAGAGGAGCACAGAATTCTGAAAGTTCAGAATCTTCCTAGAGTTAATGTAAGCGACTGAACAAGAAAGAAAAAAAGGATTACTGAAAAAGAAGATGAAGGGAGAGAATGATAGAAAAAAGATTAAAGAGGGAGTAAAAGAACAGAAAGGGGAGAATAAAGTACTAGCCTGAAAATGCTTAACCAGTGACAACCACTAGAGCAACTGGTGCTGGCCACTAACAGGGATGGCTCGCTAGCAATCTATCAAGTGGACAAGTTGTCGGCCACCACTACTTCCCAATTTGTAATTTAGCATTTTCTTTAAATTGGGGATTTCAATTTATGGTTGAAATAGAAGAAATTTCATGGATCCATTGTGGTCTTAAATTATATAGTAATAATAAAGGCATCTTGCTAATTGCCAGAAAAAAAAAAAAAAAAATAAAGGCATCTTGCTCGATTAATGTAATTTAGAAGCCAGGGAATATTTAATTTGAAATAATGTTGATTTTTCAAAAATTCAAAAGCAGGTGTACCCAAACACACCGCAGAATGTCAAAGGTTCTGCACCTTGCGCCTTGGATAAAGTGATGAGAAGGTGTGGACTTCCTGGAATGTGCTGTGCCCGAGAAGGTGGATGCTCTATTGTCTGTGTGAGCCTAGGGTGCACTTTTTAAAACTATGTACTACTTATAATTGTTAGGGATCATGCATGTCTTCTTGCAGTGAAGTATTAATCTAGATTCTGCATTTGCACACATCTAAATTACAAAAAAGCATGTCACAGGCTCACAGCACATCAATATCAGATCACTGAGTGTGTAAGAAAGCTTAAATATAGGTGTGAAACATCATTCATCATTAACCCCGCATTTTAGAATATATAATATTGACCATTTACAAAACCCCAAAAAAAAGCACCATAGCCCCAACAGATCTATAAGAAGACAGTCACCATATAAGACTAGCCTAATTATCCAAGACTTGGATCACCTCACATCGCTCAACTAACAACTAAGTCATCCATGATCCTATTAGCAATCAAATTCATTAGACGACTGACAAACAATGGTTCAATGGTTAAATAGAAGACAAAGTCATCAATCCAATTCTTGTCTCTTGGGGATTAAGAAGGAAAAGGGCAAGAGAATCTGAGAGTTTATTTTTATGCACATGAAGTATAATTATAGGAGCTAATTAGGCTTCTTCTAAACATGCAAGACTCATAATAGACCTTAAGGAAATTGATCTTAACATTCTTTGGTGTCAGATTGAGCAAATTCTAAATGAACTAGAAGTTCATAAGGCTACCGATTATTGTTTCACATAAAAAATAAATCATCATTCCAACTTGTTACAAGCACTGGCAGTCGAAAATCATCTAAATAAAATATAATGGTTAGTGAAGCGTATCCATCTTCACAAGCTAGGTAAAATTTGCAGACAGATGATAGATCACCCCTCACTAAAAAGCAATAAATACACCACAAACCACTGCCAAATAGATTGATAGAAGACATAATAAAGCTTTTGTGAGACAAAAATATACCTTATCTTTGACTAAACCTCCAGATGTAAAAATCCCTGCTTCCTCCAGAGCCATAAGAACCCTTTTCTGCAAATAAAGGGGAAAATTAATGAGTGAAACAGGAAAACACCAATTCTCTAGTAAAGATTCAAAAGAATAAAAAAAACATGAAATATCTAGGATAATAAATGCGATAAATTCCACTAATGACATGATGAAATAATTCATTCACATTTATCAACAAGGATCATATATTAATAATAGAAGCAATTGTATGCAAACAGATTTAGAAGACTACAAGTAGTTTCACTTTCTGTAACCAAAATAAAAAGGTGATTGCCAAATCAAACATCTCTAGATGTAGTTCAGCATACATAAAAACCAGCAAAACATAAAGAAAGCAACAATAAACAATCACATGTGAAATATTGGACGAAAAAATCATGATTGGAACAGGGCAGTAATCAGTTGAATACTGTCTTTTATGAAAAATTAGACTTGGGAAAACACTAACCAAATAGCATAGAAGATTTGTCTATAGAATCATGAAAATATTTAATTTCACAAATACAGGATACATACATACATGAGATTTCTCTCCATCACATGGATGATAAAAGTCATAAGAGCTAGATAGATTGAACATATAAGGCGCCTTTCTCCATTCTTGTTATTTCCCAAAAAGTTCTTAGTATTTATCTTTATAGGTGTACTGTCAAATAAAAAATCCAGAATTAAAATAGCTATTGCTAAACCTAAAAAACGTTGATCCTTATCTTTATTGTATAAGCCAGGGGGTGAGGTAGTGGTGTCCACATGATATACCTAATATGCCCTTAGCTTTCACTAACTCTTTTAAAATAGTTACTTTTAGAAATTTAAAGCACACATCACATGCATATTGATCTAGTTTCAAGATGAGGCAGAGACAGTCACAGTATGCAATTAAGAATAAATACACCTATTAAGATCCTCTATCTATGCATATTGATATGTCCAAAAGTAGTTGATCCTCTATCTATACATTATAGTAACAAGTTTCCTCTTGAGAGGAGGGGTGTGGAAGGGGGAGGGAGAATCAATCAATCAATAATGGCCATGATTTTAGCATAGACTTCAGAATTTAATTAAGAACAAATAAAATGATGATCCTCACTCAATATCACAAGCAAATAACATGTTAAAAGAAAGTAAAGTCAAGGAAAAAAGATCTAAAGCATCATGACACAATGGGATTTCCACAAGTGGTGTACATACTTCGCTTTCATCATCAAGAACTCTTTCCATGAGATACAGGTCACAAAATTTCGTAATCTCCAACAACACTTCCAAAACAGAGGATTTAACTGTCGCTTTCAACTGCATAATACAGGGGGGGGGAGTTAGAATGTACTCAACCAATTTTACTTGTTCATCCAAAGACCAGAAAAATTAAAATAATATAATTACCTGAAGCTCTTCAGGACTTGTTTCTTCAAGGACAACACCAAGCAAACGACAGGTCACCTACACAGATCAAGGCAAGGATTACTATCATACAACGAATAAGAGGATTATGTTGTTATGCATAATTTAAAACTAAAGCCCAAGGAAGTTCATATGTCACATGCACATGAGAGGAAAGAATGCGTTTAGGGATCCCGAACAACTTTATTTTTTATCATAAACCATTGACAGCATACAGAGATCAATTTTGTTAGCTAACTTATTAAACACTTCCCACAATATGCGTGTATAGCCAATGCAACCCATTTCCCATCTAAACAACTTTTTTTTTTCTCACTTTTCTTACCATTAATCCTTAAATGGGGTGTAGAACATAGAGTTGGGAGTGCTGTGTAGACAAAATTACTCTTCATCGTCATTAAGGGTATTACTCCCTCCGTTTTTTTATAGGATAGAGATGAAATTACGTGGAGTTTTAGGTGGTTAAATAGAATAAGATGTTAGTGGGGTAGATAAGGTTATTATTTTATTGAAAAGTTAAGTGGTGTGATGGGGAGTGGGGACCATTGGAAGAGTGAGAAATGATTAAAGTAAGAAAGAGTGGGGACATTAGTGGACAAATATATATGATTAAGGTGTAAGATATTTCCAAAACTGGAACTCTAGCTTATAAAAAAAATAATAATAAAAAAAAACGGACGACAATAGTAACTCTAGCTTATAAAAAAAAGGAGGGAGTATTTTATGTTTTGGAATTTCAATTTGGTAGCAATATACATTTATGCACTCTCATTGGTAGCAATTTTTTTTTTCAAAAATCTCTTAAATAGCATTAAAATTATAATCTTTCCCCAATCTATCTTCATTTTAATAATTCTAACAAAATTAACACCCTCACCACCACACCACTATACCCTCACACTGACTACCACTACCACCTTCACCACAATCCCTACCACTGAAATCACCCAGGCACCACTTTACCACCCCGTCCCCTCCCCCTCCCCTTAAACACCCAGTCACCCCTCCCGCCTCTCCTCCCTTCCCTAAAATATGTTGCCACTCTTCCCCTTCATCCCGAATCACTGAGTCGCACTTACCCCACCCCTGAAACACCATGGCGCTCCGCGCTCCTCCCCATTCCCCGAACAACCCAGTCGTATCTCCCCCTCCCTGCAAAACCCTGAACCAACCTTAAAGTATCCCTCCTGAAAGAGGTGCGAGAAGGAGAGAGGGAAGGGAAAAGGGATTCGGGGAGAGGGGAAGGGGTTGATGACGATTTCAAGGGCAGAGGGATGGGCAGTTTAGGGTTTTGCAAGGAGGGGGGTTTTGAGGGTGGGGATGGTGCACTGAGTGGTTTGAGGGAAGGAAGGGGCTGCTGGCCTGCTGGGTGCTTGAGGGGAGGGGTGGCAAGGGGTGGCTGGATGTATTTTATGGTGGGGTGGCAAGGGGCTGCTGGTAAAGGTGGGTGATGGTGGTAATGGTACGGTGGTGTGATGGTGAAGGTGTATAAAATTAATATAATCATGGACTCATGCTTAATCCATTTTAGGTTGATTATGAGAGTATAGGTATTCCTTGTAGCCTCAAGAGTACATGGTAAAAATTCTTGCTATAAAAAGACTAAGATTTTGAATTACCTATTAATATAACCCAGATAATGATAATAATGACACTACATATATTTTAATTAGAAAATTAATTTCAGTGGTCTATTCGTGGTTCATCATGGTTGTGGCTACGCTCACAGTGACCAAGGTGTTGCAAAGGTCCATTTAACAGGCATAACAAGAATCGGCAGATTGAAATTTTTGTAAAATTGTTTTAATTATAACACTAATTGAATTGCCTATAATTTGCAACAAAGGGTATTATTTGTGACACAAAATATTTCTTTATTGCAAATAATAAGAAACAAAGATAGTACAAAACCTTTTCTCAACAAAAACATAACAACGTAACAAAACCATGCATTCTTCTCAAATGAGGTTGTAAGAGACTAACACTTTGTTTGGATTGAAGGGGGATTGAAGGGAAAGGAAAGAAAAGGAAGGGAATTTGAGGGATGAAATATCTTTAATTTGGATAAACTAGACAGGAAGGGAATTAGAAGGATTAAATTGTAAGATATTAATCTTTCTTCCATCCCCTCCCCATCCCTTCCCACCCCTTCTTTTCATTCCCAACTATCTATCCAAACACACTATAAGAGTAAATGAAAGAAAAAAAAAAGTACACCAAAATAAATTTTCCGTTTAATACAGTAATATAATAACATACATTCTTCTAAACTGAGGCTCTAAGAGAATGTTTAGGCAACACTCATGGACATTATATGTGAATATCTTTACTCCGACGATTCAATATAAACATAAACATATTAAACGTGGAATATCTAAGAGGAAAAAGTATCTACCTTCCTCCCTTCACACAACTTCTGCCTGACAATTTGCGTCAATGTTGGCTGAAAAGCAAGAGGAAGACATTATTCAGTAAAGTTTTAAAGAAAATGGTTCCACGGTGACAATCTGGACAGTCATACCTTTACAGGCTGAAAGAAATCATCGACGACAAGTTGCGCCCTCAAATCCTCTGATGATGCCGAAGCACCAGAAGGGTCTAAGGTAACCGTCTGCGAATTGGCACCGGAAGAAGTAGTAGCTCTAGTAGGCTGCCTCTTTGGTTGCCGTGGTTGTGGGGCACTTGGAAATACTTTCCACGTAAAAACAATAGCAATAGCAAGTCCAGCAAGAGCACCAACAGAAAATAAATCCTAGTTCCAAACACAACACACAAAAATATAAGATTTCTTAGAATTAAAAGGGTTTTCAAATCTGATAAATTTGCAATTCAATTCAACATGTTCAATTCAAAGGTTTAAAGCTTAAAAGATTAATCAATCAATCAATCACCAAAATCTAAACGTATAAGCTTGAAAGAATAATCAATTGAAAGCAAAATTCAACAATTCAACCAAAAAGCAATCAAAATTAAAGCTAAGAAAAGTCAGAAATCATGAAAAACAAATACAAATTGTTATCAGATCCAAGAATCAATAAAAATTGGTACCAATTTCTGGGAAGCGATGGTGAATAAATTGGACATTTTAAAGGTAAGATAAGCACTGATGCGCTTAACAAGCTGAAGAAGGTCGTCCTTGGAATTATCAGCCATAACCGAGGTAGAATGAGGAGAGAGAAAAAAGGTTGAAATGAGTGCGAAGAAGAGAGAGAATCTCTAATCTTCCATTAGAGAAGAAATTGAAAATGAAAATGATGGTGCAATTTTCGATGCGATGAGCAGAGTAAGAAAGAAAAAGAGTTATGAAGAACTCAGCTTTTTCACCGTCGGCCGATCAAGCGACAACAGAGGCGTGTTCGATTGAAAAGGAAAATGAGTACGAGGGGTATAAGTGTATAACGGCATAATAGATACTGGGAAAGGAGAGGAATTTTTTTTTTTTTTTTTTTTTTGAAATCTATACTTTTTTATATTAAAGGCGTTTAGACCTCAAAGAAACAAGATTTACTTTCTTACCATCTTAGCCAATAACAATTGATGTCATTTATACATTTAAATATAACTATAAATGACATGCGTCAATTAAAAAGAAAATACGAGATAAGCAGTTTGAAAAAAAAAAAAAAAAAGAACAAATCATCATTCCACAATCAATAAAGTGTTAAAAAATATCTTTCTATACTCTTTATCAATTAGTAACATAATTTTTAACAGTTATGCACAACATACATAATCGATGATAATATATTTCATTTTGTCAAAAACTAATAATAATATATTTCATAAAGAAACAATTCAATCAAAGTGGTAACCCGGTGCAACGACCGGGCCGCACACTAGTTTTGTCTTAAATCGCCATTAAGGCCCAGTCAGTTCACGTTAAAAAAAATACGAAGTAATTTTATTAAAAATAATTTCAGTTAAGTATATTTACTTAAGCAAAAATAATTTCAGTTATGTAAAAATCAGTAATTCTAAAGAGAAATATTGTAGAGAATCAGTAAAAATAATTTCAGTTCAGCAAATTTAGTTTTAATTTAGTAAAAATAATTTTATCTCAATAAAATGAAGTGAACGGGGCCTAAATACGTTTTTTTTTTTAGTCTAAAATTACCCTAAGATAATTATTTTCCAAATTACCAAATATAACAGAGACTCGGGTCACGTGACTTTTAATGAATCCCCTTCCCCCCTTTTTTTCCTTAAAAGTTTTTTGGAGTTCCCTCCATTCTCTCTCCTCTCTCTATTCACTCTTCTCCTTTGTTATCTTCAAGCTCCATTGTTTGTCCTTTAGCTCTGAATTTATTATTACCCACTATTGAATAGTAACACCAACCGTCGATAATCCCTAATTTTTTACTTTAGTTAGGTGGTTTTTCACGTTGTTATTCTTTCCCAATTGCAGAAATTAGGGTTTGCTAATTGATTGAAATTATGCAAATTTCAGGTTAAATGTCACAGTCTCCAGCAAACACTAAGTGCGGTTGTGTTGTCCCAATTGCAAGGTTAATACTTGACTCGTGAAAACTCAGTCGAAGATTTGAAGCTTTTAAGTTTTACAACCCATATACAAAATAAAGGGGGTGGCTAATTCTTTCGCTGGGTTGATGAAGATATGACAAATTGGCAACGAGATGTACTAAACCTAATTCTATCTAACAAACAACTTCTAAAAGAGGAAGTCGGTGTTATGCACACAAGGTGTTGTGTATAGGGAATGAGAAGAAGAGGTTGAAGGAAGAAGTTGACAAATTGAAGTTGAAGTTTAAGAAGAGAGGGAATGAATCTGATTACAACATAGGAGTGACTATGTTAGTTTGTGTGTGATGTATACGCTGCTTAGTTTGATCATGGTAAAATCAGTGGCCTAATCTAGTTTAATTGGGCAATAGTTTGTATTAAGGTTGTTTTAGCACTTAAAAATAGTCATCTAATCTAGTTTAACTTGTAATACTTTGTACTTGTTGGATGAATTAACAAATTAATGAAATGGTTTATGTAATAGCCCATATTTTTATACTTATTTTTAATTTAAATAAGTATTTCTTGAAGTAGTTAAAAGTGAAATGAACAATTTATGAGGTTTTATTAATTTAAAGAATTTTATTAAAAGCCCAATTTATTTATTTAATAATTTTGAAATACTTTATATAATAATTTGAAAATAATGGGGCCTGTAATTTTATAATAAAGTTAATTTTTTAAAGTCAAAGGTATTTAAAGGAAAGTTAAATAGTAGTTGGAATATTAAAGATTTAAAGGCATGAAAAGAATTTTAAGTAGGAAGTTTGTTGAGAGTGAGTATAAATTAGGGATGAGCAAAAAATCAGGATACCCTAAATTGGAACCGGAACCTGTTAGGAACCGCAGGTTCCGAAACCGGAACCTGTACAAGAGGTTCCGGTTCCGGGTAGCAAACTGGAGAACCTGTTATAATAAGTTCCGGTTCAGGTTCTCAATTTTTTAGAACCGGAACCTGTAGGGTACCATGTACCTGAAAAAAGTATCACTTAATTTCAAATTATACACTAATTCTTACTCAATTTTTAAATAATAAATATCAAAATTACAATTATAAAAATAATTTGTTAGACAACTACTATTAGTTTGTCTTATTTGCAAGTTGCAAACATTATAAATTAGTGACCAACCAGTTTTTAATTATAAAATCCGCGAAAAAGTTAGTGAGTACATTATAACATAGGGTACCCTGAATCGGAACCGGAACCTGCAGGTTCCAGTTCCGCTTCCGCTTCCGGTTCCCAATTTCCAGGAACCTGTTCAACAGGTTTCGATTCCAGTTCCCATTTTGAGGAACCTGTTGCAACAGGTTTCGGTTCAGGGTACCTTGTTATACTCACCCCTAGTATAAATACTCATCATATGAGCAAAATCAAACTTTGCCTAAGGTGGATAATACCCATGGGTAATTCTTTCTCTCTCCTCTTATTTTCTCTTTCTCTCTCTCTTATTTTCCCCTTCCCCCTTTTTTTACACCATCGCACACCACCACAAGGGGCCAGTTGCCACCACCCCCCACAACTGTAACACCCTAGAAATTCCTTTCTTTTAAAATACTTGTTTTGCCCTGTTTAAAAATTTAAATAGGAATATCTAAGATATTACCGCCACCGTGAAAATGGCTAAGGCAACCATCAAATACACACATCGGAAGACTAATTTCAAAACCATTCAAAACAAATCAACTTGAAAAGTCAACTAACGAAAGTAAAGTCAAAACCAAAGTCAAACGAAGTAAAATAAAACCATTCTACAACTTGGAACCATTGTAGGCCCTTATTAAAACCAAACTAACTTTAAAACTTTTACGTTAGTCATGCATGATAATAATATCATAAATAATTAAAGCATTAAACACATCATATACTTATAGAAACTAGCATGCTTCGCTCTTCACTCATGCCCATTCATAAATATGCTTCATCACCTGAAAACCTCCTCTCTACTTGTCCCCACTACTCGCCATTAGAAAATAGGTCGTCGTAGGGCCAAAGTAAAGACATGGCCAAACACACAAACACACACAATCAGCAAAGTTGAGTACATAAGCGTAATTAAACACATTAACATGCTTTCACCTATCAACACACACTTACCTCATTGCACCTGTTTACAAGAACACACAACAATCAACAAGACACATTAACTAGACACTAAATAATTCAGTTAGCGTTGATTACGCATTGAACGGGTTTCCAACTATACCTCCCCCAAATAAATTGAGGTTAAATGACACGGAAGCTAACCGTGCCAGCGACAAAACCACTCAAAGGTGGCGGAATTCCTGCGCATAATAATAAATAAAAATTTACAGCGTCCTATACTCCATTAGAAGTTATGGTTAAATATAAAACCTCATAACTCCCCCCATTGTTCATACTCAAGGTATATATGTTCCAAGAGTTTTGGTGCGTAATCTCTTTCACTTTACGTTATTTACGCGTTATTGGACTTGGTGATGACTCTCAAAGTGTAATAAATCAATCAACAATAATTATTCAATCAACCAAACATACCAATTTAATTCTTGAATAATTAGTGACCACATATTATTTAATGTTGAACCCCTTTTAATTCTACCTCAGTGTCAAAGACACCTTAAACGCATAAAGCGCCAAAAATCTTATCCCTCGGTGTTAAAAACACCTTAAGTGCACAAAGGCACCAACATACAATTTATTCCTCGTGTACATAGACACTTATATAGCTCCTTCCTCGTGCTTAAAGCATCAATAAAAATTATTTGAACCATAATAAAATTCCTTTTCAATATTCCTAATATAATTAAACATGTAGTTTAATTAATCATGCATTCTAACATGCCATAAATAAAAGTGTGGTTCAAACACAACATGCCCAAAATATAATTTTCCAATCCATAAACCATCACAAATAATTCATGTTTTACAATTCAATCACCAACACCATTAATTCACAATTCCATACATAAACCTTAGCATGATACTACTTGTAATTGATTGAAATCAAGCCTAGCATGATTCTACATCATCAAAATATGCTAAGTATGCGAACGTACCTCAAATAAGCTCTTAAAAGAACCGAGTACTCTACAACAATTCTCGAACCAAGTCTCCTACAGAAAGGGACAATAATACTATATTAATTACCCTTGTATACATAATTTTCAGCAACTTAAACTCACTTTAAATAACTTATAATAATCTGAAAATTATTTTAAAACCCCTAATTAAACTCTTTTTAATGGATAATCACACCCTTTTATTAAAAATCACAATTATACTACTTTAAATAAAATTCCAACATTTTAAACTAATCAAAAATCCTTTAAAACTTCATTAAAATACATCTTTATACTTAAATTATCCATAGAAACATTAAATTATCTCTTACCCTTTAAACCCAAGGATAAAATTTAAAGCATAAAAAAAAACTTCGTTAAAAATCAAAAACTGCCCGAAAATCATATTTAGAGGCTGAATTTGGCCACGAGATGGTGGTGATCACTACCAAAGGTAATGTGTCTTTCTTAAAACGTTGTTTCCACACGAAAAACACTACTTTTTTTTATCAAAGTCGGAGGAGTTCAGAACCTAATCGGGATTAAAACGGGATTAATATTAACGAACGAAAATCTAATGATTAAAACATGAATTTACGTGTTCAAAATAATCTGGAATTAAGTTAAACTAATAAGTAGTTATCATCACCAAAATTTCAAAACATCATTACTATAAAAGCCCTAAATCAATTATTCATAAAAACCCTAAAATCATGATTTTCAATAATTAAAAACCCTAGGTTATAAAATTTACAAAATCTGAAAATTATAAAGTTTAATCATCAAAATACAATTTGATACTAATTAAATTAATTTCAAACAATAAAATCAAAACCCATAAATCAATAATTATAATTACACAAATTAATAAAATAAAGGAGACAGGAAATAAGACTAACCTTTTTGTGTGGGAAATTTTTTTGGGGATTCATGGGGTATTTATAGAGTAGAGAGTGTAGGGTTAAATTTGGGCTTATAAA